TTTTCACTGGCATTTTTGATCTAAAATCCTCCAAAAATTAACTTGATTATTTTTAACAGATGATGATATTCAATATAGTTAATAGGATTCTTGACTTCATATCAAGACATAAATAACAGAGGTCCTAAGTTTATACTTCAACATGGTATACCATTGGAAAGGCCTCATTTATATTAAGCTGCTCAGTTCTGGCTTCCATATTATAAACTGGACATAAATGCGCTTGAAAATATATGGAGATGGATGACGAAGTTGATTCCATGTATCAAAAATCTGCATTGAACTGGTAGTGTGGAAAGCCGTAGAATTTTGGGGAATATAACTAATTCGGGAACAGAATTGTATATAAGTGGAACTAGCTACTAGTGTCATTGGGGCGTGAATTTTACGTATAGTTCTAAATACTGGTTGAACAGTGTATGAATAGGTGTGGTTTGGTGCGAGTCAAACCTGCTTATCATGGGCCAATATTATAGCCTTCTATAATGTTGATTCTTATCTTCTTCAACCTGATTCCCTCCCATTCTGCAGACGCTGTATGACCCGCACGGGTTTAGCGCTTCCCCATTATTATAATTGCAGTGTGTAGCTTCTATTTTGCTGGAGCACATAATTCACTACGTCTGATTTCATACATCCTCAAAAAAATTGTCAGCTGGTGTGTAGCCAACACCAGTAATGTGGTGTTATCAAATGTAGGGCTCACTTAATACAATGAATACTATTTTTTATTTCAGGCTATGAGACTAATGAAATAAATATAAACAACGTTTTCAGGGGTGCATCCGCGAAATCCATAGCGTCATGGACGCTCTCGACGGGTACGAACGCTCTATGGGTGGGCGGTCCTCTCAATGATACCACTGGTGACAACAGAGGTAAGGTAGGAAGGAATGCGTATAGAACGCGCGTCTGGCTCCCAGATTGTCTTATGTCCTTTTGAAAAATATTTTCTTGCCCTGAGGGATTTTTTTTTGGAGGTGGGGGGGGGGGGGGCGAACTGTAACTAACTAGAAACAGAACGTAACACCTCGAGTTTTTTTTTATCAGAAATATCCTAATAAACTTACATCAACCCGAAATCAAAATTTAGGTTTACAAAAAAATATATAAATAAGGTATAACTGGGGGTAAAGTACTGGTTACTCTGATACAGAGTTTGCAGGTTCGAGTCCTGCTGTGGACGTAGAGACAATGTAAATAATTTCGCCTGTTTGCACCCCCCCCCCTCCTCCATGAGAAGGGGAGCAATAGTTGATCCTACAACAGAATGTATCAGAATCCGCCTATTATAAAAAGGAGAAATTTAGAAGAGCTGTAAATTTGTCTATTATAATAAACAAAAGATAAAGAATATTAATGAATTTCAAGATGGTAAAGAACTGCTTCTGAACATGCAACACAGTTACTGGCATCTGTCTATATAAATCTTTCCAACATATCTCGTTAACCTCTCTCCTCTCATGTGTCAAAGTGTTTCGTCTTGGCAGGAGGTTACGCCTTCCACGAGACATCGAGCACTCCGGGTCGTCAGGCTCAGCCAGCCGTGATGGAGTCCAACATGCAGACACCTACAGGCGCCGACGGTACGCCCTATTCTACCCTGGTTTTCACACTATCTTCTCCACGAGCCAACATAACTAATTTGTCTATTCTTTTACTATGAGACAACTATGACACTCCCACGACCCAACAAAACTCGGCGGCAGCTAACTTTAACTGCCATTCTCTGTTTTCCAGACATCCTAAAGTTGCCTGGCGAAGATATAAATCCTTGGCACTACCTCTCTGGCGCAATATGTTCACAAACATTAAGCTGTGATACATTATGTTCCACCTTGTTGTTACTGTATATATCACTGACACTGAGTTCCTCTGATATCATTATAGTATTTCCCTGGACTACTAAGTTCCCTTTGTATCACTATGTTTTCCTTGCACCAGGAAAGGTAAGTAAAGGCTGTGGGTGACACTATCTAGATATGATAATAGCAAATTGAATGAGGAGTGGGAAAGTTCAGTTCCTCTCAGGAGGAAATTGCAGGGATGGTTAATATACCAGTGGCGTCACATTCATCATGTTTCCCCAATAACACTATATTCACAAGCACTATCATGTTCCCCTATCACCATCATTACCTGCACCATTATATTCCCCTAACATCACTGTCAATACCCGCACGACCATATTCCCCCAAACATCATTATCATTAACTGCATCATCATGTTTTCCTAATATTGCCATCACTTGCACCATTCCATCCAAAACTAGGACAAAACGTATAAGCATGTCTCCTTATACCTGCTATCCTTGATCACCTAGTCGACCCTTGTGGACTGCAACTTGCGGGGTAGTATTACTTTAATTCAGGTGAAGTTTTAAAGTAAACTTGAATAAGTTAACAGCCCTCAGCGTGTACAAATAAACTAAAAAAAAAAAACTATTTCCACCGTCCATTATCCCGTCTATCCCAACCGCACCATCACTTTTGCCACAGCCACTACCACCATCATGCCCACAAAACCACCATCACCATCCTCACCACAGCCACTACCACTATCCCCTCTACAACATATATCACCACATCACAAAACCAGTGCCCCATCACCATCACCTCTATCCCCGTCACATCACACGAAAACCTAATCACTATTACCACCATCATCCCAACCAGAACCATCGCCACCACTGTTATCCCCACAAAACACCCGTCATCCTCATGACCACTACCACTATCATCTCAACACCACACCACAACCCTCATCATCACTACCACTATCAACACCACAACCGTCATCCTCGCCACTTCCACTATCTCAACACCAAATCATTACCCCTCACTATCACTACCACCATTTCAACACCACACCACAACCCTCATCCTCGCCACTACTACCATCTCAATGCCACACCACAACCGTCATCATTACTGCTACCACCACCACCACCACCACCTCTTCATCATACCACAACCTTTATCCTCATCACAAACACCTTTATTGCCGTTGGTCCTCCAAAATAGAAAGACCTACAGTACATTCAAACAACAGCTTCCAGTATGCCCTCTACTATACCCTTACAGTAGCAGTATGGACACACAATACCCATTATGGTCAACAATCTACACAGTATTCACTTAGTAAGAATGTGCATGCCTTCGTCTGCTATGCATGTTATCAATAATCTGTTTAGCTCCATCATGCCTTTTGCATCATAATTAGGTAATAGCTTTGATGTGTCCTCTACACTCCTACAATCTCCATAACGCCCTCTCAACTTCACGACACCTTCCACATTGTAATGCTACCTTTTGCAATACCTTCAGTCCTCCACTAAATCCCTCCTACTTCTAGGTCCGTTAACTCCGTTTCTTAATTCCATCACATGTAGTATACAGTACATGAAATGCATATCTTAAGAGTATATGCAGTTTCCTTAATTCTCTGTTTTATGGATTTTTGATAATACAGTATTAAGTTAAATTCGACCTCCATGACCTTTTTGCAGTAGCTAGACCTTAACCCTAACAAACTGTCTCTGTCAATCAGGAAAATGCCTCAAATTCTGGTACTCTATGAACGGGCTGAGTGCCAGCCAATTACGAGTGAAGGTGAAAGGTGTTGACGCCACAGAGATGACCACCATCTGGGAGACCAGAGACCAGACCAGGGGAGACTGGAAGGAAGCCCAGGCCCTCTACACATTTAATGGCAACCACACGGTATGTTCATTGATAATGACAACTATGTTCATTAGTACTGGCGAGCACATGAATGAAACTTGATACTGGCAACGCGGTATGTTCCTTGATACTGGCAACCACACGGTATGTTCCTTGATACTGGCAACCACACGGTATGTTCCTTGATACTGGCAACCACACGGTATGTTCCTTGATACTGGCAACCACACAATGTTCCCTGAAGCTGGCAATCCATGATATGTTTTATACCAATTTCAGTTTTCGCCATAGTGACAGATGCGTGAATAAATTTAAATTTTTATCTGCTTTAAATGCATTTTAAATCTGTCCACAAATTTCTTGCAGAATAAAATAAATGCAAAAAGTAAATTCAGCACAAAAAGTGAATGATTTCAAAAATATATTTAACGAAACCAATTGATAACTTTAAGGCAATAATAGTTACATAATTTAGTGCCAGTTAAGTGATTACAAAGAAAATTGGTGGCAACTTTCTGGAAAATTTTATCTTGGATCAACCTGTGTGGCTCAGTATTTCCTAACTTTAGAATTTTAAAAATCTAAATTCCAGGCTATTCATACTTTGCGAGGCCTTAGACCGACTGTCACCAACTACATATGAAATTAAATTAATGTTCCACCGTTTTTATTTAGTCATTAAAATTTTAATTTAAGGCAGCAGTGTGAGCTTAAACTGGAAGGGAGAGGAACAAGCAAGTATTTTCAATATGTTAATGATGTGCATTGTTGTATGCCCCTCATTCCAAGATCTGTAATTTATATATACTGTATACAATATAAAAAGTTAAGCGTACAAAATCTTGCATGTGGGATACAAGAGTGAATAATTGCTATGTAAATATTGCATTGCTAGCAGAAGAAAAATAACTTTTTAGAATCATGTACATTTTTTTACAGTGGTGCAGCAAGAGCCTCAACCGTAAAAAAAATGGCCAACCATGTGTACTTTTGATATTACTGACAAAAAAAAAACAAGGTTATTTAGTTTAAACATTTTGTAAACCTCCACTTTGACTACAGCAGTGAAGCAAGGAGACCACACATTTATAAACCGATAATGGGGCGGAGTAAATTACCACAAAATTAAGCTCTCACCAGGGGTGCTTGGATAAAACAGGACTGTAAACCCCTTTTAAAAGACAAGTGCTGATCACTGACTCGTTTAAAATACTGAGTATGTTTGGAAATTTAATTATTGTTACAATAATGAAATGTGGTACACCCGTGTGGACCATACTGAGGAAGAGCAGACAAACGTGAAAGTGTTATAAATCTATTAAAATATTCAAACAGCCTTGAGGAGAAAACTCAGTATTTTTTCCTTTAAAGCTTTTTTACTACAGCGAGGCTATGATCAACACACACGTGCCTAGAGGTGGACCCCATCTCATATGTATCTACATACGATACGTACATGCCATGTACACCTCTGAATAAAGTTATTTCTTGGGCCATTTTTTTTTTTGGGGGGGGGAAAGGTTACCGAAAATACATTTTTGGCACAAGTAGCACGTCACAGCTAATCAACGTTTAGTGTTCATAAATGGTCCAAGTCGGACCGAAACGTCGTCGTAAGTTCCTCTCTCCTATGTGCGGGTTACTTGTGTAACCTTAAGTGTTGCGGTCAGTCACAGTGGATGTCAAGACAGACAGCAGAAGTGAACACAGACCAACGTGAAGTTACGTTATGTTATTTAAGGTGGGTTTCGTTACATTTGCTGATTTTTTTTTAACATTTACACAACAAAATATCTCTGACGTAAAGCTAACTTAATTCTCTACCATTCAAACTATGATTACTCTCCGAAATGCATTAAGGAACAATCATCAATTACCTCTAACAACCCTTTCTGATAAGATGTGAACATTCTCAGTTATACTCACAGCCAGGACTATGATGCCAGTGGTAGCGTATCCAACGTTCTTATATACTTTTCTATATCAACATCTCAGCGTATAGAAGCATCTCTATCTCTCAACACGTAACTGTTATTGAAAAGTTTTTGTTTACAAGAAAAATATATCCATTTTTCTAAATAAATGGTAGCACATAAAAGTTTTTCCATGCTAAAAACATCATTGTATATTTTTTTATCAATCACTATGCGCATATTTTAATCAGTGTATCACTACATATTTTTGTATAAAAATAATTTTCTGTATTAATGCACCACTACTTTTTTTAAAACTGATTATTTTGTCAACACAATTCTGCATAATGTTTAAACAAAAAGAATAACTGCTTAATGTTTCGGAATCTCAACACCATAGTGGAAAAACACATGAAATAAAACAACTGGGGCAGTAAACTACATAGTTGCTTACCTACAACTTCGAAAATGTTCACATTAAATGACGGAAATCACTACTGTAATTGCTGTTGTTACCTTATAAATCATATCACACATTAATTATATTCCTTGTTTTAACATTCTTAGCCTTTTCACCTATCAATAAGCTTAAGTAAAGGTATTAACTACCAAAGTTTCAGTTTTTCTTGACAACACCCCCGCTCCTCACACACCGTCACTCGACACTGACCCTCAGATGGCAGATAGAAAAAGCTTTTGTTTTCTATTTTAAATATTATTTCATATTATTTATCAATAAAGGGTAACTGAACTGGGAGGAGAACGGCTTCTTAAGAAAATTACAAAGCGATGATGTACTGAAACCCGTATAACTTCCATATTTTCGAAAAATGTAGGCTCCCGCTCCCGTGGCGGGAATATTAGTGGCAATTCAAACAAACTTTTAAAAGGGAAAGCCCTTACTATAGGTTTCACACACAGTGAGGCTTTATTAAGGAACTTTATAAATCCCCAGTGGGTGAAACGTCATATAATTAGGGCTACTCCTACTAGTGTTTTTTTTTTTTTTAAATTTAAAAACTGCTGGCATAGTTTGCATAATATTCAGGGGGGCACCCAAAATCGTTTTAGTTTTTTAAATTTTATTATTTTTATTAATATTATTATTTTTA